AACTGAACCATCGAGATGGTACTTCGTTGTGGAGATCAACAACAACTAACAAGTTACCTACCAGAAGGAAGAATAGTATGGTCTCATATTTGATTCTCATGAAGGATTTTAATTTCCTCATCCATAGCCAGTTTTCAATCAAGAGATGTCAATGCCTATTTCAAAGTGTTAGGAAATGCATTAGAGATGAAAAAAGTCGATGCAAAAAAACAGAATTAGAAATGACATGCTTAATATAGTTACGGGTACCTTTCCTCAGTGTAATAGGCAATTCAGAAGAGGATGAACTAGCTGACTGTCTAGAGGGCAGAGCCTTACTAGAATCAAACGTTGGTTGTGGAACTAGAGCATATGAAACAACCAGTTTGACCTTGGAACGATGATAAATCTACAAGGGAGGAGTAGTAAGTTAGGAGGAAGAAGATACACAGTTTGGTACAATAGGCTACAAAAGCTTCCATTGATTAGAAAAGACTAAATATGGGGATAGAATATAACCTCACTCCGAAAAGAAGGAAGATGATTCAAAAAAGATAATATCAACATTGATATGATATCGACGAGAAATAGAATCATAGTAATTATAACCTTTCTAAATATGAGAATATATAAAAAAAATACACTTGACAGAGTGAGGCGAATGTTTATCTTGACATGGACCAACAAATGCAACATAATCAAAGGCACAAGAGTGAAACCAAATAATGGTCTATCAGGATAGAACAATAAGAAAGAAGACTTGTTGTCCAAAATGGGGGAAGACATGCGATTAATAAGATAAAATGAAGTAAGAACAGTATCAGTCCAATATGGTTTTGGCACATACAAGTTAAAACATTAAGCCATGGGTAACATCCAACAAATGATGATGAAGAGAAGACACACTAGCACTCAAGACAGAAATAGAATCATCGGAATCTAAGTAATAAAAGCCATTGCTCTCGTGCCTAAACCAATCACCTTCGTCTTGTGTTCTTGAAAAATACAAAAAGATGGAGAGAACATTACTGAACATTGTAAGGACTTAACAAACTGGCTCATAGATAATAAGTCGAAGGAAAAATTAGGCATAAATAAACCAAAAGTGAATGCCATAGACTAAGTAGGACAGAGATTATTAGTCCCATATACTTGTCGAAGGAACCATCATCTAACATAATACGTGAGTTAGACAAACGAAAATTAGAGAATATAGAAGAAATTCCAAACATATAATCACTAGCTTCTGAATCAATGATCTAAGATGACAAAAAAGGTTGAGTCAACACACATGCAGAGTTACCTCTATTAGCAATACATGTTGTACGAACTAATAAATGTGCAAAAAGTGAAGATAACTGTTGGATAAGCTGAAGAAGTTGAGAAGAAAGATCATTATGAGAATCAGTTGTAGATGCAATTGGATCATTGGCAGAAGTTTGATGTACTAGACAATCCGAAGTATCATTAGATGCCTAATTAGTATATGCTAGTATTCCATATTTATCTCAATAATAATTCTCAGTATGTTTTGTGCGACCACAATAAGTATACTTCCACTCAGAGCAATGACCACAACCAGAACGACCACCACTTCCCCTACATCCTGTGTATAGACCAACACAATTGACATTATGGGGTGGATCATGATCGTCACCATGAACACCATCATTCAAAGTTGCCATTGAGAAACCCACAAATAATGATGCAGTATTGAACCAAAAAATCAAACAACAAACGACTCATCAATCCACCAAGTGTCAATAATCACCCAAACTAACGTAGAATGTACAAGAAAATACTCAAATTTGAATAAGAGGCTTAAGAAATTCAATCCACAACAAATCCTTAACCACAATTGAGAACCCACAATCTAGAAGCTAAAATAGGGGAAAACAACATTTTGTAGAAACTTGGAGAAGAACTAAAATCTGCCCAAAACACATTTAGTAGCTAGAAGGAGCAAAACTCGAAGTCAGAATAGTGACTAGAGACCCAAAGATAAAAAAAGTCAATGTTGACCACACACCACCACTAATTTCCTAGTCGCACCCCTCGTTTTTTTTAGGGGGAGGGGGAGGGGGAGGGGGAGGGGATTTGAACCCTTGACATCAAGAAGGTTAAGCGTTTATAAGGTAAAGAGTACCATTAGATCAAAGGCTTGTTGGTACTCCTAGTCGCACCTCTCGAGTAGGGTTTGAAGCATTAAAACGACTGGAAAAATTGGAATGAACAGATCACAAAATCGGACTTGAAGCTATCAGTCCAACCACAACTTGCGCAAATACACTGGTAGTCTATACACCACAAGAGTCGGCAAAAAATGAAAATAACAGAGTAGCAACATTCTATGGTCTTGGTCGAACCCTTATATTTGCAAAACTGCAACCCAATCATCAATTACAAGGCATAGACAAGGACTATAACCATGAGATAATCATAATCTCATTGGCAAAGAACAATAATCACAATCAAAGGAATTCAACCATAATCATAATAACTCCTCATGACCAGATTTATGGTTCAAAAAACCTCACACAACTAGTCAAAGTTTCACAATTAACAGCAACCAGCACTGCACAGTAACCAACAATGAATAGTATTACGGTGAACAGTAACCTCAGTGTACAGGAACCTCGGTGAACAATACTAGCGATGAACAATGTAGAGAAGAAGGAAAAAAAAGGAAGGGAAGAGGAGGACAAACTATCACAAATGCTCTAATACCAAGTTGAAACTCAAATAATCAAGTATTAAGGTTTTAAGTTTAGGAAAAAGAAAAAGAAAGAGAAGAGTGAGAAAATAATGTGTGAGGTATGTTGCCCTACACCCTGTTATTTATAATAACTTGATATTATGGGTAATTACAATATTACACTATCAATAATATAGAATAAGAACTCTAACAGGTTATATGCTTATCCTTTGATTTGAATCTTGTTATGGAGGTCCTTGTCTCTTGTAATGGAGGTCCTTGGGAGACCATAATGCCTGCGTATGTAGGATGAAATTTAATCTTATGGAAAAGAAGAGAAAAAAAGAAAATCTGAGGTCTATAAGAGAATGCCAATAATTTTTGTAACAAGTTAAAGAGATGGATGTAGATTGGGTAGGTTTAGCTATTAATGGAGTGTGTTTAGTCCATTAATGAAGTAGGCTTGGTAGCTATGTGTTAGAGAATGTAATGGGTGTGGGAACGGATATTTCTGGGGTGGGAATAGGCCCCCCCAAAAACATTTTGTGCAATTTCATTTTTACTCTTATGACAAGTATGAGTTTCGACTTTTGAGAGTGGTAGATCGTAGGTGTAAGATACCTTACATTTCTTTTACCACTTCTTTTTCTATGATTTTCGTCAACGAAACAATATGTTAAAACCAATAATTATAGTAAAGGATCCTCAGGCCATCCGTGGATATGGAAAAGGATTATTTTCTTATTTTCATTTGTTCAAATTTTTTACTTGCTAAAGAATATGGAGAATTTGTGTGGCTGTAATTAATGTTGCGTTTTTGGTTATTATATGAGTTTTTTTTATCTGGAATTTTATGTGGGTTGATTTGATCGATTACAATGAAGGGGTTTGGGAAGGGAGAGATGATTTATGTCATATGGTGTTTTGGTTGACACACACACAAACACATGAATACACCCCTATACTTGTACACACACTGGCTACAAATTGTGCAATTACTAGCTTTAAGCCTGACAATTATTTGACCTTTATTATTGATATATGAAAAAGGTTGTAAATCCTAAAAGAAATAAAAATTAAGAGGCTATTCTAACCCCAAAATATCCTCATTCAACTCTCTAATATTAGAAATTTTATTTCTACTCCTTTTTATGCCCAACATACTACTCCCTACATCTGCCTCAAGTCTACACTTATTAGTGACAAAATTCAAAATCCTGTAGGATGTGCCATGTTATAACCAAGAATCAAAATATCATTTCGAAATGGTCGAGACGTCCGAAACGTTTTCTTTTTCAAGGAGACCAAAACGAAACAGTGATGAAATCGAAATTATAATATTTCGATGTATTCCATAATGTTTCGAGATATTTTATAATATTTCAATGCATTTGTACAATTATTTCGGAATGTTTCAAGGTATTTTGATATATTTCAATCAATGTTTTAAAAAAATAATTCTTAAATTTTTTATTTTTATTTTGTTTTCGAAACGCGTTGAAACGTTTTCGAAACACGTCGAAACGTTTTCGTTTCCAAGGTGACCGAATCAACACACTGAAACGAAATTTTAATCTTGGTTAAAACTAATCCAATCCTCACCAACATATTTGTATATGTGTATAGTCATGTTCGTGTTGTAGTTAATATGCATTTAACTGGGTTCAAGTCGGCCCATTTAGTAAATGGGCCTAGTATGTCAACCCGTTAAAGGCCTAAACTTGTTAAAGTCAAACACTTGCCCTCTAATCTCGTATCGATTGTTGGCGGGTCGTGTTAAGAATTACCAGCCCTGGGTCTACACCCACTATTAGTGATTAAGCTCACCCCCTTTTACACCTACACCATTAAGATGTTAAATACATTTTTCCCATTCTGTAACAAATCTAAAAAAGTTTCACCCTAAAGCTTGACTCTCATGCTGGTGGTAAGGTATAGATCACCATTTCACATCCAGGGATTATGTGCATATATCTACGCTTGTATGGAATTTTTAAAGTTATGGTTACAGGAATTAAGCTAAATATGCTTTTAATTAGCTCTATGTGTGTTTGAAATCGCTCTATCACATATCTCTTGAATGCTCAATGATTGGTAAACAATCTAATTTGGAATTTTTGAGTAATGCCATATTGGGTTTCAGATTGTGGTGCGACAGATTAGGCAGTTGTCGAATGGTTGTTTTCAAATGTATGTTGAGCGCATTTAGGATGGTATGTTGGATGTGTAGTATAAAACCATTGAAAGTTTATGTAAATAGATACGTGTTACCATGTCTATGTTGAATGAATTCTCATTAAGATTGTGCATTTGGTGACAAATGATACTATGGGTGTGGGTGGGCTGGTGGAAAATTGGAGGTCATAGGAAGTGCACCTTTAATTAGATCCAACGAATTGAATGGTAAAACAATGTCTGTTCTCAACCTGTAGAGCTCTACTCCTTCCCCTTGTAGTGATTTCCCCTCTGAGTTATCATAGTTTTCTGGCCTCATCTTCCGTGCTAGTTTTGCTCTGCTCACCTCCACTGCCCTACAGATTCATCCAACAAACCCAATCAATCATGATTGAGACATTCTTTAGAACCACAATATTTCATTATCTTTCCCCACAAACCCAATCAATCACTCGAACCAATATATGATACAAAACTGAGAAGTAAACCAGCAAGACATGAACTTTGGTCCGAAATGCAACCACAATACAACCACCACCACACTAACCACAAGACGTAGATGCCCAACCCTACACACCCAAACACGGGGTGCCCATGGGAGGCCACCACCAAACCAAGACCAAGTCCTTACCATCCACCTTCAATCTGATGACCACAGAGCAGAATCTGTTGCCCTGTCCTGTCTAGTAGCAAAACCACACAAACAAGCAAATTAATCGCAATGTAGTCAAGGGAATTTTAACCAGGGCATGGAAGGCGGATGACAAGGTAGACTTGAAGATGGAGAACATGGGACCTATATCTTTATTTTTACTGATGAAGAAGCCAATGGAGGCAGGATAATGAGCCAATGGCCATGGATGGTCAAAGGACAACTTCTTGTTCTCAAGCCTTGGGTTCCAACCACAACAATCTCAGAAATTGATTTTAATACATCCCTATTCTGGGTTCAAGCACATGGTCTCCCACCGGATATGATAATAGAGGAAAATGCCGTAAGGATTGTACAAACGTTGTGCTGCCCAGAAACACCTAAGCATGAAAAGCTCACAGAAAACTCTGTGGAGGAACTACATGCAAACTAGGCTAATTCTCGACCTGATGAAGCCATATGAACATATTTTTGTCACAAGAGCATACAACCAGTGAAGAAAATTGGCCTGAAATGTGGACTACTAGGAGATTACCCATCATGGGCATATGGGTGCCTCTTTCACTCTTCAATAGATTCGGATAGTGTTTTGAGTGACTGTGAGAGCCTTGGTGTGGAAATGAATAAATACCCAAGAGGTGGAGCAAAAAATGCTGGAATGGAATTCACGGGGGGTACGTACAGCCACTCAGCAATAGATCACATGTCCATACAATATTTCTCCGACAAATACGGGGTGCAATCCAACGGTGAGTGAGTAATGCTCACAAACAGGTCACAACCGTCCTACTCACAGTACATGTGGCAATATGTGTTGGATCTAACACTAATGGAATTGCAGGACAAACCGATAGTAATTCCTCCCTCCCCTCTCTCCATGGACAACAATAAAAAATCAGATCAGTCATCCATATGCGACAAACGTTAACACTATGAACCATGGCCAAGTGTTCCTTGAAAAACCATCAACTAATTTTGAAACTGATGCCCTTGATCACACCCTCTCCCAAAACCCTGGACTATATAGATCATACTACTACAAGAGTCCCAAATCTGTGATATCTTAGATACATGTATGGCGGAGGTTTTCCAAGACTCTCTCAAGAAACACCAATATCCATAGAACAAAGGTCGGAAAGATCACCCTTTTGTCAATTGGTCCATCAACAATTGGAGCATATAACACTATAACTGAGCTCAATATAGAGGCCTAGTGTTATGAAAAGCTCGCCTAGGCGAGCGCTTAGGTGAGAAGCGAAGTGAGGTGATGTTTTCTCGCCTTGAACAACCAAGGCGAAGTGAAGTGAAAAAAGCGAGTGTCTCTTGCTTAAGCGAAAGACGAGGAAAACGAACGCCTTATTTAAGTTTTTAAAGTTGTTTTTAATTATGGACCATTGGATTGTTTTTTTATTATTATGGACTGTTGGATTGGATCAATTGGAATAAAATTATGAGATGCCCATACACCCAATTGTCCCCTTATCCTAATATATACAACACCCAAACCCTAATTTTGCCTAAAAGATCATACTGACTGCTGTTGTTGTTCCTTCCTCGCTAGTCCACACTCCATAGGTTTGTCTCATTCTCTTCTTCTTCTCTATTTCTCCTCTTCTTCTTTTAAATCTTCATTTTCTTTTAGCTTCACAGCTTTGCATTTGCTGCTTTATCTTCTTCTTCAATAGAAAAAATACCATACAGAGGTGCTGTTGATTTTCTTGCTTCTACTGCTGCTGTTTCTACTTTGACAACAGAGGTACGTTTTTCTTCTGCTGATTCTTCTTCTTCTGGTTCTACATCCTCTCTCTTTTTTCTCCTCTTTTGCTTCTGGATCTAGTTCTTCTTCTGTGTTGCTTCTTCTTCTGCTTCTTTGTTTCTGTTTCTCTTCTTCTGCATCTTCTTCTTTTTTTCTGCTTTTGATTCTGTTTCTTCTCTTCTTTTGCTTCTGCTTCTCTCTGTTTGATGCTGATTTTCTATAAATGCTTATTTTGCTGATTCTGCCTTTTTTTTTTCTGCTTCTTCTAATTTTTTTTAATGCTTAATGCTAATTTTCTGTAATACTTTTGCTTATTTTCTGTATTGCTTATTTCTGCTGATTATGTACTGCTTATTTCTGTTGATTTTGTATAGTTTATTTCTGCTGATTCTGATTTTTTGTAATACTGATTTTGCTGATAGTAATGTCGATTTTTGTAATGCTGAATGCTGTTTTTCTATAATTCTGAATACTGATTTTCTGTAATGTTAAATGCTGATTTTTCTGTAATCCTAATTTTTCTGTAATCCTGATTTTTCTGTAATGCATTTGAATTTGAATCTAAATGTTTATGGTTTTGCTTGCATTTAAATATTTAGTATTTATAAAATTAGAATTTAGATATTTAGAAGTAATTAAACTAAAATATTTACTTTTTTTTAATTAACTGTTCGCTTCGCTTTGGTGGAGTGTTTCGCTTTGCTTCTCACCTTAAATAACACTGTAGAGGCCTTTAATGTGAACGAATATAAGGATACAAGTACAACACCCTCGGAGGAACTCAACACTTCCCTTATTATGGCATTAGGGAGCTCATCTTTCTCCATTGGTTCCAAGAACAACGGAGGAGGTCGCCCTTACCATGCCCCCATCTTCACCATGATAATCATAGCTAGGAACTATCAGGGATTGGGTTCTTCCTTGATAGTTATAGCTCTGAAGGACCTATGCATCCTACATATACCCCAAATACTATGCCTTAGTGAAACAAATGAGGCATTTTAAAGTTGAACACTTGGCGAGGAGCTTGAAATTTTGATTAAAAAAACTAGCTAAATCTCAAGCTCTGTTTGGAGATTTTTGCATAATGTGGAAACGAGAAACCAAATTAGAATTGAAAGAACCTGATTGATTTAACTTTTGACGGTCAAGGTGTGGATGGACCATGGCACCTGACTTCTGTTTATGGACATCCAGAGTATGAAGAAAGGTGCTTGAAATAGGAGAAACTGAGTGCTTATGGGCGAAGTCTAGACCTCCAATGGCTATCCCCGAAAGATTTCATGGATATACTATCAATAGCAAAAAAGGTTGGATTACAAGATATAGAAAAAAAAAAAGGAAAATGCACAGCTTCAGCACCTTCATTGGTGATACCAATTTGAGAGCAAATGATGCAGATTTACCTGGGATAATCATAAAGATGGAACAACTAATGGTAGAGAGAGTTGGATAGAGCACTTGGCAGCCCAAGCGGCAGGATAACACCCCCCATGTTGTTGTCTATATTCCCCAGCTGTGGGATTGGACAATTTCCTATTGCTACTGGACATTAAGCCACTCAATGGAAGGCCTAATAGAAGTTTGAAGCGTTCTTGGAAGAAGAGGAACCTTGTACTAAGGTGGTCAAACAAAGCTGGCAAATGGAGGTAACTGGTTCATGAGTACACGTTAAAACAAAAATTGAAGAGCTGTGGCCAGAATCTGACAAGATGGAGTTCAACTTATTTTAGGAACAACAGAAAACAAGTTGAGGACTTTTAAGGCGCAACTTACTGAGCTGCAGAACAACCCACTACCTAATTATCCACACTAAGAAATAGGGGGAATCAACGAGGAAATTGAAAAATTGTGTCATAGGGAGGAAAATTTTGGGGTGCAGAGATCTAGATTTCTAGATTAAAATGGCTAAATTCGGGGGACAAAAAATACAAATTCTTTCATGCATCTACAATCTAGTGAAAACAGAGAAACAAAATGATAAAGCTCAGAATTTCATAGGATGAGTGGGTAACTGAAAGACCAAATTATATATTATCATTTCCAGAACATCTTCTCCGCAGGAGGGGAAAGGAATTATGAGCCCATTTTGCAAGACATCCCCCAAATGGTTATAGAAGAGATGAATAACAGGCTGCTGATATTCCCTGCTGTGGAATAAGTTAAATCTGAAGTCTTTAATCTTGGATCCCTAAAGGCTTCAGGGCCAGATGGGGTACCAGGATTTTTTTATCAAAAGTAGTGGGACATTATGCATGAGGATGTGCTAGCTGCTGTTCAGTCCTTTTTTAACACAGGACCTAAACTGCAAGAATTAAATGAGACAAACATAACCTTAATTTCTAAGGTTCCTTAACCTGAGGAGATAGGAGAATACAGGTCAATCAGTTGCTGCAACTTCGTGTACAAGATCATCTCCAAGCTACTAGCCTCAAGACTAAAACCCTACATGCCACAGTTGGTATTACAAAACCAAAGTGCCTTGGTGGGGGAAGGCAAATCCAGGACAATATTGTTGTGGCACAGGAAGTAATGCACTCTATGAGGCAGAGGAAGCAGAACAAGAAATATCAAATGGCAATTAAGATGGATATGACTAAGGTCTATGATAAAGGCCCATGATAGAGTGGAGTGGGACTTCCTAAGTGACCTTATGAGCAGAATGGGGTTTCAGTTAAGGTGGGTTAATTGAGTTATGCAATGTGTGATTGCGGTAAGGTTTAATGTGATGATACATGGAGAAAGAGCTACAAAAATCAGACCTTCAAGGGGATTAAGGCTAGGGGTCCCTTTATCCCCTTACCTCTTTATATTGGTAATTGAATACCTCACATGCATCATCAGGAGAGCTCTGGACAACCAACTTTTGAGGGGAATAAGTTTAAACAGGAATGTCCAAAGGATTTCACACCTGTTTTTTGCTGATTATTCTATTTTGTTTGCAACAGCTTTCAGGGATAAGTGCCAAACTCTAACAGAGAGACTCAATAGGTATTGCTATGCAATAGGCCAGCAGATTAACTTGAACAATCTTGAGTAATGTTTAGCGTTAGCACACCGAGCAAATCCAACAAGAGTTGGCAGCTGTCCCATATGAGGGATGTCCCAAATGCCTATGCCACTAATATGAGATCTGAAGTGCTGAAACACTATCTGCCTGGAGAGCTTGACAATTGGACTAAAGGGAAGCTTCATCATCTAGGAGATACAAACCACCCACCCATTGTCAACCGTTTTTCCCGATTCTAGTTCCTGAAAGGTACAAGGAGTAGTAAAAAAAAGTTATTGAACAATTCAATGATTTAGTAATACTACTAACGGACAATAAGTTTGTGGTAAAATTAGTAACATGTAGAACGGAGAAAAGGGAGAGAGTGGGTGAGCAATTAATAAAACATTTGCCATAAATTGAGAATAAGGATCCATCTGTCACTTTGACTTTATTTCTACCTGAACATGTAGAGTATGAGGAGAACAGATTAGAAGAACCTGTCATGTAGTTTGTGGCTCCATAATCTATTATCCAAAGAGCATATGAGGATGATGCAAGAAACACACTAAATATATCTGTATGAACAAAATTGGAGAAAGAGGCATAATTAGGAGCTATGGTAGAGGAAGCATCAAGTCGAGCCATTAGACGCGTAATAGTCTATATCTCATCTTGAGAAAAAGTAGAAGGGGTGGTTCTACCAGTTTGAGATGGAATCTTTGGGGACTCGGTCATATGTGCATGAGATTGCACATTACCACCTTGACCTCTACCTCGGCCACCACCTCGTCCACATTTAGGATGTCCGATTAACTTCTAACAAAACTCCGGTATATGTCTTGTCTTTCCACAATAATCACACTTTAAGGTATCTTTAGACAGTGCTACTGATCACTGTGGGCTTTGACTTGATCTTTATCATACACTTAAGTATAAGTGGTCAAGTTGTAATATTCTTGGTGAAATTTGAGATCGAATTCACAGAGTCATTTGTAGAAACTTTAAACAAGGAAAGGGTATAGTGAACCTAGAGAAATGATTATGGAAATTGGA